TTATTATTATTATTATTAATGTTACCGTTTTTACTATCACTAATATCATTATTGTTGTAATTATTATTATTATCATTATTTTAGAAACTTCAGCAGTTTTATTAGGCGTTTTTACAAAAAAATGTTTTACTGAAAAACACTTTGTTGTTACACGTCAACATCAGAGCCGTGAGAAAACTCGATAGAAAGCAGTTGCTTTGAGTCTAAATAGATACCATTTCCTTTAGTAATTTTGTTGCTTGTAATTTATCCGACTTATGCAAGTGTTTATAAGCTAGTTACTTTTTAATAAGTTTTAAAAAAAAGAATATGTTGAGAGGCAAAACGAAAGTATCAAAAATAGAGCTGTAAATTCAGAAGATATATTAGTCTGTAGGATTTCTGGTAAAAGACGACAAAACCAAAATGGCTGCTGAAAAAAGTAAACCTAACGGAGCTGTTCGCATGCAAATTACATGCCGATAAGTGTACGGAGCTTTTGGCTTAGACAAAACAAAAAATTTATTCCGTTTTTAGAGCACATACTTCAGCGACTAACTTCCGGAAGAGGGCGTGAAGAGGAGTAAACTAAAACTTCGCTTGATTATGTAACTCATCAACTCTGTCGACCTAGATTTTCAACTTTACCTAAAACCATTTGACACATTGATGCAATGTACACATAATTTTTTAAACAAGTGTCTTCTACGTAATTCAGCAACCGGTCGTTCGGTTTAGATTATTTTCTAATATCGCAAGTGAATCAACGTTCGTCAAGCGCGTTCCATCCGGTTACCAGTCTTAGTTTGTCTATACTTTACTTAAATTTTACACATTTTCTTATTGTAGGATCATATAGTAATGCTGCTCAAATTTTTGGTGTGGCTGTCAGTTTTACTGGTTCTAGCAGACACTCGTGAATCTTCTGCAGTTTATAACAACCGAATAAAAAGTTTGTTTTTTAATCTGTCGGGTAAAATATAAGAATTATTATATTTTTTCAATTTATAATTGTACTGTAATCACGTCTGAACAATCCTCTGGTTTGAAATGAATACTTTAAAGAATAAGTTTAATGCTTATTAGGAGCTTTTTGACAGCTTTGCAGTAACTATATTATTCTATGTTTGAAAATGTTAGGCCCCACTTTGACCTTTAAAACCATTTACAGTTTTCTGCTTCTTTTTTTTAAACGTTTTTATGAGATGTAGAAGTATTAAAGTTAAAGAATGATGTGTTTTTTTTCAACTTTTCTACAAGTGACACGTCATTTCTGGATTTTGAATGTTTCTTAAATATGTTAAAAAAAGATAAGCACTCTTTCTTGTGTTAAAACTGTAGTAAATTTAATAACGGATTTGTTAGTGTATTCAGTGAAACAACATTCTAATAATGCATTTGGTTTGGTTGAAGAATTAGAGGAGACAGTATGTTGTTGTTTACCATTCACAGATCCATTAATTTAGACGAACCGGAAGTACAGTGTGGACATGGCGTGATTACGGTGAAAGTTCGAACAGAAACGAAACGACCATCATATATTTTTGCCAAAGGCCACTTCCGAAACCCGGAGTGCAGTTTTCACAACAGCAATGTTGCTAACTTTACCTTTGAACACTGCAATATCAACAGGAAACGAGAGGTAGGTCACCAGTAAACTGTGAAATATGTGGTAACAGTTCTACAGTTATTAATACTAAAGTAATTTAAGTTGCTGTAAGAGGAACATCTTAGAAATCTTTCAGTTAAATAAAAAGGAGATAAAAAATTTGTTCTTTTATACCGCGTTTGGATAATTAGCAACTTTCCGAATATTCATTACGAATCAGTTTATATACCTCAACTAGAGAAGTAAAGGCAACTAACTTGGATATTCTCATTGTAACTTTCCTGATAAATTTTTCTTCAAAACTTTGGAACTAATTGAGTCAATTTTATTAGCAGTTATACATACTTTTTATATATTTTTTCCGAAGCCAAGGCCGTTTTTTTGGCTTTAATTATTTGCGTAAGTTTCGATTTCTGCAAAAAATTTTTTCTTTTATTGTTATTCTTTCCCAAACTTTTCTCATCACTGATGCTTAAATTACCTGTGTTAAATATTGAGGAGTAAGGATAGTAAAATAGTGACTCTTTTTTTGAGGGCGCAGTTTTTTCTATTATAAATTGCAGTAGTTTATCTGATACAGGAAAGGTACGTACTCTACATCTTCTTCTATCAGAATGCTAATTTTTTTGTCAGTTTTCAAGGCGAAAGTAATTTTAGAAGCGAATAATAAACAGTAGAGAGTAAAAAGTTTGAAAGAATTAAAAAGCCTAAAGAAACTGTGAGCATTAGACGAGCTATAATATTTGGGAACTTTATTCTTTCCCATTGTTATTTATTTATTTGTTTACTCTTTCTATAAGGCACCATCAACACAAAGAACATTGAATAATGGTGTTCGGTCGTGGGGAGCACTAAGCAACATTTTTCCATGACACTCGTTATACATATTGCATTCGCCCGTCAAAAACACTATTATTCAATGAACGGTTTTTCGTGAATCTGAACTCCACTTTCCTTCAACCACAGTAAACGGCAATTAGTTATAAAATTTTTACAGGTCAATCCAAAAGGTATGGCTTATTCATTAACAGTGATCGTTCAGTTACACCCGGTAAGTTTTCCGGTATTTACCTTTGTTCAAAGCTTTTCTTACAGAATTTCTAATCTGTCCACTGTTATGTTTACCGCTTCTAATTACAAGAAAATATTTTGTTTTTATATGGAGCAAAACAAAAATGAGGCGGAAAAAAAACATATTGAAAAGTATAAACCAATTTCTGTTTGAAAAGTTAGAAAAAAACGCAGAAGAAAGTATACTGCCAAGTGTTAAGAAAAGTTTGTTCTTCAACAACCTTTTAGTTGTCGAAATCTGCAGTATTGCTTTATTTACTCTGATAAAGTGAATTTTAACTGGGAAAGAGTAGTTACTTTCTTGATCACAATATATTTTTTCATTTTGAGACTTAGTGAGATTTGCTGTTTTAAGACTAAGAAATGCAGAATTGAGAAAACTAGAAATTAGTACAACATTCTGTAAAGTTATAGCTGCAAAGAAGAACCTAGTTAAAAATGACAGCGATTTAGGTAATTTTCTCTGCTTAATTTTTAAAAGCTTTTATCATGTTTAATCATTAAGCTGTCTGGTTGAGAAAAACTTGGCCGTTTAAGTTACCTGATTTCAGCTTTTTATTACAAAGGTGGATCGAGCTTATAACGTTCGATGCTTTTATATGGAAGAGAACAAAGAAGTTAATGCCGAGTTTGCTGTCAGGTAGGTTGACTATTTGCCTTCTTTGGTAGATAAAATCAAAAGCTTTATACAGTAAATGCAACATCCAAATTAAAAAGTCTTATGTGACTCAAATTGTAAAGGTTTTGTTAAGCTTTTAAAATCAGAAATAAGTGGCGTAAAAAAATTCACTGTAGTTTTTTTTAGCTGCACAGCTGCCTAACAAACGTTAAGTAAGCCTTTTTCTTTTTTTTTTTTTAGCGATTTGATGACAACCGTCATTGAGTCTGGTCATCCGATGCCGCAGTGCTCTTATACACTTCACAGAGATTCTCCCAATGGCCCAGTACTTCGATACGCTCGAGTTGGAGATCTTGTATATCATGTTTGGGATTGTCCTTCAGAAGTGTATGCTATGCTTGTCCACACATGTTCTATCCTTGATGGCCATGGCGACGAGCACATCGTCGTAGACTCTACCGGGTACCTCTACAATTTCTTGAACAGTGCTGTCAACCAAACGAGCTTAAACTCTGGTTTTTCAAATAAGCTTTTTGACCTTTTTAGTAGTCACTCTTACGCATTCTTTTTTAGCTGTTCTACCGATGACTATATCATTCCTCAGCTTACTTACTC